GTAATGCCTGAATGCGGATGCATTTGTGGAGAGGTGCAGAAAATCGCAATTGAACTGCTTTTTTGCATCCCTAGATTCCCTACGCATAATCCAATCCTCTTTGTTGGTGGGACCTCGCACCCTTGAACAGATTGCTCTGCCCTTTACCGACAAACCACTTTTTCTGGAAGAGGCAGCTTTCGAAAAAGGAAAGGAATTAAAAAAAAAAAAAAAAAAAAAAAAAAGGGGAAAAGAAAACCAGAATAAAGTAGTCAAGAGTTCCGAACCCGAATAAAGTAGTCAAAAAAAAAAAAAAAACGTTTAAGAGAATACTCAGGGCATACTCACAGTGGGACCTATAATCCCAAATTCCCCCCAAGAAAGGTGGAGGACGGTTCACACAGATTTCCTAAATGTACCATTGGTGTGTCCATTTGTCAGCCGCCTGTGTAGGTGCGGGGCAAGGGGATTTGCGGTCACCTCTGGAGGTGACGGCAAATGCGCTATTTATTTTTGCGCATTTTCTTCGAGAATTAGTGAAAATTCGTTCACGAAAGTTCTTGCACGATTTGAGGATGGTGCCGTGTGACCAGCGAAGTACCAAATCGCCACTGCTCCAGACGGCCAGGGCCTTGTCCCATCTGAAAAGGTACAGTAGTGCGACCTGAACCATGCCCAAAACCTCAAATCGGCCCTTCCCAAATCCGCATTTTTTTGCGAATTTGGGGTCGCAGTGTGAGTATGCCGTCAGACTAGCGCTATCTGAAATGCATCTGACTGATTCTGACAGCAATTCTGACCCGACCTGGATGTACCCAACCACACACAGGTCCAGAAAACTGTAGAAAAGTCCTAGTGTGAGTATGCGCTCATCTGCTCAACTGGTTGGAGACTGGTGTGAAAGCATGGCACCGACGGTTCTATGTTATTAGACTAATAAAGCATGGACCTTGTTGTCAGGGCTAAGCCCCACTACCTTCTTCCTCCGAATACAGTGTACGGTCATTATAGCCGTATTAAGACTGAAAGATACCCCAAATACAGCTATAATGTCCGTATGTCGTATTCGGGGGAAGACGGTAGGTTTTTTTTTTCCGACTAGGTATATTGCCATGGTTCAACAGCAAGAACCTAGTCATAAACCACCAGTACTTGGCCCAGCTATCGGCCGCGGAAAAAAAATAGAGTAGAAACGTTTCTAGTCGGATGAATTTGGGCGCTCCTGTAGTAGCCCGTACGTTTCCTGAAATCGTGGCGCGTGTGTGGCGAGGCCTAAAACGGCTGGCGGAAGAGTGGGTGTGTGGCGAGGCCTAAAACGGGTCCATCGTGACATGGCACAGAGAAGTATAGATGGGGCCTGACCCTACCTTCTTCCCCCCAATACAACATACGGTCACTATAGCTGTATCTAGACTGAAAGATGCCTCAAATACGGCTATAATGACCGTACATTGTATTCGGGGGAAGAAGGTAACGGTGAGGTGGGTTAGGGGCCAGGTCAGAACTGCAACATCCTCCCCTCCCCGCCACATGTTCCCCATTGTCCCCCCACACACAAAGACAAAAGGGAGGAACAAATCCTGGCAGACTGCATCTGGAGGTGGGGACAAGGTATTCTGAGACTGGGCTAATGTCAGGATTTCAGAATGACACAAATGTCAGGATTTCAGAATGACATTGTGTGTCCTCTTCACCACTTTTCCAGAAAGAGAAAAGATAGTGTCAAGAATATTGTCTTGCCTAAACATAATGCATACCAATGCCATTCAACTTTCCCCCCAAAAGTCATTTTCTCAAAATTTACATCGTAAGTTCGAATAGAACGAGGCTTCAAATGCCTTTATGGCGTTTCATTAGCTCAGCAGGAGGAGCAAGGGACCATATGTGCTGTTTTTTCAGCTAAAGTGGATGTTTTATACTTGAGTTCCTTTACAATGCACCACACGATGACAGTCATACTCTGACACTGTATCATTGTGTGACTCTCTCTCTCTCTCTCTCTCTCTCTCTCTCTCTCTCTCTCTCTCTCTCTCTCTCTCTCTCTCTCTCTC